CGTGTCCCTCTACCGTCTCCTCCTGCGTCCTCTTTGCCTGCCGTTCCGGACCCTGAGTCTGACCGGTATCGCGCTGAGCACCCTACAGTCACGCGTCTCCTCGCTACTGTTGTCACTGACCCTACCTTTGAGTCCTCGGCTGCGTCTGCTCTGGTCGCTGAGTTGGTTGACTTTGCTGCTGCCTGTCGTCTAGACTACGCTGCTAGCCTTGTTGCTGAGCCTGCGTCTGCGTCTGTCTGTCCTCCGTCCGTCGGGGGTGAGTGTGCTCTTGGCACGGACGTCCTTGAGGACAGGCAGGAGGACTTTGACTCTCTTGCGGCTGCTGTACCTCATCTCGTGGCCTGGTTGCTTGCCCCTGAGGGAGACCCGGATGCACTAGACATCCCCACTCCGCGCACTTACGCAGAGGCGATCTCGGGTCCCTACTCCTCTCAGTGGCAGACAGCCATGGACGAAGTTGTGAGGCTGAGATCTACGCCACAGCCATGGCTGCACAGGAGTTACGCTGGCTCACCTACCTGCTGACTGACTTGGGAGAGCGGCCTAGTTCTCCTCCAGTTCTGTACGGTGACAACAAGGCGGCTCTTGCCTTGTGTCAGGAGCACAGACTGGAGCACAGGACGAAGCACATTGCTCTTCGCTACTTTCTTGCTCGAGAGCTTCAGCAGCGCGGTCAGCTTCGGCTTGTGTACGTGGACTCGAAGGCCAACACTGCTGATATCTTCACCAAGGCACTCCCGCCTAGTGATCATCAGCGGCACTGTACTTCTTTAGGCCTTGTGTCCACGTTTCCTCACTTGCTCACTGCTTGACATTCTTTGTACTGTACTTTATATATATCTTGTTGCTTGCTTGCTAGGTTTTGATCACTATGTTGCTTGTCTTGTACTATATCTAGCACTGCATGTGAACTGGCCTTGTGGCCTTTACTTGTGCTCGGAGTGTGGTGACGTTGTGATCCACCCTGGGCTTTGTTTTGCTTTGCTGGACTGGTCTTGTGACCCTTTGTTCTCCCCCACTTTGCCTATGGGGGTGTGTTAAACTGTATTATGCTTGTAGGCTGTAGTGGGGTAGCCAATATGGGGTACAACCCCAACTAGGGTTTCATATTTGTACCCAAACTTCTGTTAGTTGATCCATTCTTGCCTAGTGATTCTGATATTCCACTTCCACACCTCGTAGAAGTCCGCACCAATCTGAGGATGATGAATCCAACCGCATGGATGCAACGTCCACTGTAGTGCTGCTCCCGGATGGCTCCGTGCGACTCTACGACGCTCCCGTCCTTGTCGCCGGCGACGTTCTACAAGAATTTCTGAACCACAATATCTTCTGCTCGTCGCCAAGCCGAGGATTCGCGCCGCTCCATCCCCACTGTCGCTTGACCTCCGGGGAGACGTATCACCTCATGCAACGCCATAATCATATCGGCGCAACGACGGCGACGCACAAAAAGGACGAGAGAGACGCCGGTTCTTCGTGTTTCTTGTCATCGTCTCCTAATCCTCGTCCTCCCCCAGTACCTCAACTCGTCGTTCGGAATGTGAATGACCATCACGCCCACGACCACCCCGCGGCGAGGTTCTATGCGACCTCTCCACGAGTGTCGCTCGTGAAGTCGCAAGATCGTGGGCCGTCGCTGAGCGACTCAGTGCGCGTGGGGTCGCCGAGGGAGTATCTGCGCCAGCCGTTGGATTCAGATGCATATGCCCTGAGCCTGAGCCCCAGTGATTTTACAGCGTCGCCTACGCCCATCTCCGATGAAAGAAACCTCGATTTATGGCATTCTCGTTATCGTGTCCAAGATCGGTGTGACGGCGATTTTCGCCATCACGGAATGGCCCGAACCAAGTCCATGTCACCACAAACCCGGATGGGTTCGCCCCCAACCCCCTGCCGAACGCCAGGCTCTGGAGCGGCGATCCGAACCTTAGGTTCGGGCTCTTGGATGCAGCATCATCTTGAACCGGACTCGAGCGGCTCTTCTCTGGAATCTGTTTCAAAAAGTGTCGATCCGGGCAGCGCCGTTTGCAGTGTGGTGATGGAGCAGCAAGCTCACTTGGAAGGAGGAGGCTGTCGTAGTAGTGGTCCGAGGTCAGTGCGACAGATGCGACAAGATGCGCTGAACATTGAGTCTGCCGTGGCTAGGGAGCTTGCGGGACCTTGAGGTGGAGGCTTTTTGGGAAAGTGAAATGGAAATGGAACGAGTGGAGGAGAACTATGAAAGGGAGCTGACGGAGTGACTAAAGTAAGGGATTTGGGGCACGGGGACATTGTCCCATGGGCAGTGCAATAAGAGGCGGATCTTCAATGAATGAGTCCACTGAAAGATGAATTCAGGGACGCCCGCCCTCTCGATCATTGCAAGTGTTGTTGTCGGTGTTGATGTGCCACGTGAAAGGGGGTCGGTGACGTGCTGCTGGGGGGCGTCGAACACAGTTGAGAGGGGGATCATGCTCGCTCTAGCAACGCAGCTAGACTCGGCCTTGTGCGGCAGCAACATCGCGAGGACTCTATGCGGAGAAGCTGTCGCCTTTCCAGAAGTTTCACCATGTTTGCCTGTGTAGGCTAATGTCAGAGAGTGGTGTGTTAGTGCACTTGTTTGGTGTGACTGAGACATGTAAAGAAGCTAGACTTGTCAGAATTATATATAACTGCATGTAGTTCTAGCTGTAGTGTAGTCATACATTTGTTCTTGCTTGGTGGTGCACCCTTCCTGAACTATAACTTGTACTTGTTTCTCATATTGCATCATTCCTATTCTCGACTTTCTCTCTTGGCACAAACTTCCTCTCCCCCCGTGGCCTAGGCTACTAAGCCTAGGCCCTAAACCTAACTACCACTTGTGCTAGTATCTCAACATGACATTAGAGCCTGTTACGTCCTGGCCTGTGGGCCTGCCTCAAGCTTCCGCTGCTGTTTTTCCGGTCGCGCGCCTCGGGCGCGTGGCGAATTTCCTTCTGTCCCGCGCCCGGGTGGCGCGTGACGTTTTTTCTGCTCGTCGCGGACCCCTGAGCCGCCGCGGACCCGCCCCTGGCGCCCGCGACGGTGCCCTGAGCCGCCGCGGACCCGCCCCTGGCGCCCGCGACGGTGCCCTGAGCCGCCGCGGACCCGCCCCTGGCGCCCGCGACGGTGCCCTGAGCCGCCGCGGACCCGCCCCTGGCGCCCGCGACGGTGCCCTGAGCCGCCGCGGACCCGCCCCTGGCGCCCGCGACGGTGCCCTGAGCCGCCGCGGACCCGCCCCTGGCGCCCGCGACGGTGCCCTGAGCCGCCGCGGACCCGCCCCTGGCGCCCGCGACGGTGCCCCTGCCTCACCCGCGCCTGCACTCGATGCAGCCGCCCCTGTGCTTCCTTTCCCCTCCTCCTCCTTTTGTTCCCACTGCTGCAGCTGCCGCTGGGGGGGAGGGTGTGAGGGTGTGGGGGAGCCGGGGGAGTGGCACTGGGGTGGCGGGTGTGAGACCAACCAGCAGCCGTCCCTCCACCTCTCCTCTCTTCCCCCCTCTGCTGCTCCTGCAGCAGTGTGGGGGGGAGGGGGAGGGGGAGGGTGAGGGGATGGAAGGGGTGACCAGCCAGCGCCAGCCCGCCTCCTCTCTCTCCCTGCCGCCCCTCCTGTGGTCCGGGGGGAGGAGAGTAAGGGGGTGGCAGAAGTGCCTTGCTGTCACCTGCCCCTTTGCTGCCGAACCTTTTCTGCTGCCTTGCCTGCTGTTGCTGTTTCTCGGTCTGTGGTGTACCCCTGCAGGTTGTGTCTTTCACTTAGCTATTCCTGCATGCAGTTACGGGGGGATGTCAGAATTATATATAACTGCATGTAGTTCTAGCTGTAGTGTAGTCATACATTTGTTCTTGCTTGGTGGTGCACCCTTCCTGAACTATAACTTGTACTTGTTTCTCATATTGCATCATTCCTATTCTTGACTTTCTCTCTTGGCACAAACTTCCTCTCCCCCCGTGGCGTAGGCTACTAAGCCTAGGCCCTAAACCTAACTACCACTTGTGCTAGTATCTCAACAAGACTCTTCACGTGTTGTGTTGTGTAAGATGTGGCAGGGAAGAAGGGAAGGGGAGCAAAGGAGGGAGGGAGCAAGGGAGGCCTGAAACAGGAGCGGGGAGAATATGACCGGAAAATTTCCTGAGAAGGTATGCCATAACATTATGGATTATATTCATTTTCTTCGTTCATTGTCTAAGCTCTGTGGAACTCGGGACGAGGACGACTGAAACCGTACCGTAGTTAGTGGACTGCTGATGGAGTGATGTGACAGCGTTACAATGTTGAAGTTTCCTTTTGTTTTCGTGTGTGTGGATGTATTATATGTGCACGCATACATATTTGAATGTTTCCTATGAATTGACAAACTGTTTCTATCGTGGTTCTAGGTTTGTGATCGTAAGATTGGCATTATAAGGTGTAGGGGAGAATTCTGTATCAAGGATTACCAGCCACCACAACCTCCCCCAACAACCCCTACCCCACGCGACTCATACGCCCCTATCTGGTCTCACTCAGGACGCGTTACAAGTAGAACATCGATCCTGCCTAGAATCGGTGTTTAGGTGGTTACACATTTTCGTTTATTTTCGCTAACGTACAGTTTTCCCTTCTAAGTCAGGCGATCGATGGGCTCCCTGTCACACATCGATCGTGCAATTTCGTCCACATCGGGCAATTTTGCCCCATGTTTTTACGATCGTGTCACTTGAAACTTCAAAGCAGTCGTGACACACCGATATGGCGATCGGTTTGACAGGTTCGGTGAACAACCCTGATCCTTCCTCGATATTTTACTTGTGACGCGTCCTCAGCCTGCTCCCCTTCCCCTATTTTTGATCAGCCTCGTTATGTTCGGATCTTCTGTTGCTTCGCCTCGCGATGGTATAACTGGCGTCTGACTGCGGTGCAACTATGGGGAATACCCGCTGGGGTCACGTGCTACTTGGCCTAATGTGGACAAGGCACTGGTAGAGCATTTTGAGTTAGAGTTGGCTCGAGTGCCGTTTCTATGTACGATTTAGTTCTGTACTTAGTGATAAGCTTCTCGTCCACCTCCGCTTTTTACGGGACCGTTACGAGAAAATAATGTGCTCTTCTTAACCACTCAGAATTACCCAGCATTCGCTATCGCCCACACCATTGGTCGAAGTCATGGCATGGCGATCACAGCGTTCCGCAATTCGCGCGATCCGCTTCTTGATTCTTTTCCTTATCTTCGAGGTGCCAGCGCGTTGCGCGTCGGAACCCATTGATCCGAGCAGCCATTCCGTTGGAGGAGAGTCCGGCTTCGAGCACGTCATGTCACTTTATCGAGTCAGTGCCATTCCCCGTCACTGTATCGAGTCAATCCACCGTTCGTCAGTGAATTGGCTCCGCGATGATTTCTCATTATTACTCTTATCTGCGCTAGGCGATCGCTCGACCCTCTTCTATCGGCCCTTTCTGCTCTGTCTGCGCTAATCGTGCTATCTGCCCTGTTTGCACTATCTGCCCTGTTTGCACTATCTGCTCTGTTTGCGCCAATTGCTCTATTCGCGCTATCTGCGCCAATTGCGCTATCTGCGCCAATTGCGCTATCTGCGTTAGGTGCTCCTGCTCGTAGCCCATGCACAGTTTTCGGCCGCCCAGTTATTGCGTAACTTGGTCTAAGAATGCGGATATCTTTCTTGCCTGATTCACTTAGCAAGTTTCGAGTTCGCTGCTTATTCTCGCAGCCTCTCTCCGTCCTCTCTCACTCGCCCTCTCCACTCTTTACTCTCCCTTCCTCTCCCCCCCTCTCCCTCCCCCTCCTCCCCGCATCCCTCTTCCTATTTTTAACACACCCCCACCTTTCAATCCCCTTTCACCTCCCTTCCTCTCTCCCCTCCTCCTCCCCTTTCCTCCTCTCCACTTCTCCCCTCCTCCTCTCCTTTCCTCTTCTTCTCTACGCCTCCGCTCTCCTCTTCTCTACCCCCCTCCTCCGCTCCTCTCCTCCTCCCCCTCCTCCGCTCTTCAACCAGGTATGGGAGAGCATCTACGGCTTGCACGAGGACAACCAACTTCCCCCCGCCAACATCTCCCTTCCGCCAAACGTGCCCCCCGCGCCCCACCTTGAGGACTGCACGGCGCGCACGGCGTTCCGCCTGGCCGCGGAGCAGCGCGGGCCGAACGGGGAGCCGCCGGAATGGGCGCGCCCGCCCAAGTGCTGCGGATGCAACCCGCAACCCCCGTGGGTGAGACTGAAGCGCGTATGGGCTGTGAGCGCGTGTGAGCTGTGAGCGCGGATGCGGAAGGAGCATGAGCGGGCAAGCAGCGCGGGTTGCTCAAGCAGCAGTTTACCCTTCCTTCCTGACCCATCTGATCTTCTCCTTCTTCTCGTTTCCCGCTTCAAACCGCTCCCATCCACTCCCACCCACCCCTCACACACCCTCTCGCCCTTTCGCCTATTGCTGCTCTTACTCGCGTCTTCCTCTTGTCAGATGTACCCCCCACACCCCCCCAACCCCCCCTCCCGCCCCCCCCCCCCCCCCCCCCCCCCCCCCAAACCCCCCCCCCCTCCCCCCCCTCCTCTTCCTCCCCCTCTTAACAGTGTCATGTTGTTTGTTCAAAGAATTTCCTCATTCGCAACCCACACTGTGAATTCCGTCTGTCTGTCCGTCCGTCCCTCCCTCCCCACCTCCCTCTCCCTCCGTCGCCCTCCCTTCCCCCTGCCCTACATTGTGCATCGTACCTTCTCGCACACCTCAGGTTACCCCCATGCACGTGCCTTGCTTGCTGTGCTCTCCCCAAACTGCTCATCTCATCTCCTCCCAAACTGCGTCATTCAGACGCAATTGCTCCCTCTCATCCTTTCCCCGCACCAAAACACCTCTAGCAAAATTAACCTCCTCCTCGCTTTCAACATTTAACACCCACCCTGCATGCTTTCTTCTCGTTCCTGTAACCTTGTCGCAGCTCAGGTGGGACTATTCACTTGCCACCCCATCACCTCTCTCCCCTCGTTTTCTCCCTCCTCCCACCCCTTCCTCCCCTTCCCTCCCCCTCCCCCTCCCCATCCCTTTCCCTCTCTTTCCCCTTCCCCTTTCCACACCACCCCCACCCCCTACTCTCCCTCCCGCCGAAACCGCCCCCATACATTCCAACCTGAGCAGGTTCGGGGAGCGGACGACGAGAACCTAGCGCTGACGCGGCGGGTGCAGGCAGAGATCTGGGAGAACCAGTTCCCAGCAGAGCGCAAGTGTGCGGGCAGGAAGCTGCTGGTGGTGCAGTGGGCGCCGCAGAAGCACCACGGCGTGGGGTCGCAGGTGCATGTGATGGGCGCGTTCCTGAGCATCGCCCTGCAGTTCAAAAACGCAGTCTCGTCGCCATTCCCGGCTCCTATGGCCGCGCGGAAGACGCTGGGTGTCAAGGTGCGGCGGAGCGATGGATGGAGAGAGGGAGGGAGGGTGCGAGGGAGGGAGGAAGGGAGGGAGGGAGGGAGGGAGGGTGGTGGCAGGTGAGGAGGGGAGGGAGGGTTCTGATGAGGGGATGATGGAAGGGGGGAATGGGTGTGGTGGTTGTTGTGAGAACTGTCATATCATGGAGAGCAGGTGCAGTGGGTGGGTGGTGCCGGCAGGGGTGGGAGGGGCTCTCGAGATACGCTGGCACTGCGTTCTTTCTTTGGATTGTTTATCCAGTGTAACCGTATCCGTGCTGTGGTAACGGTACGTATCAACGGGAGAGATGTATAGGGGGATTGGAAAAGGCAGGGTGTCAAGGTGAGGAGGGAGAGACGGAGCTCTATGAGTAAGACTGACTGATCGACTGACTGACTGGCTGGCGGCGATGTCAAACTGATGGGGGGTTGGAAGACGCAGGGTGCAAGGTGAGGAGGGAGGGACGTACGGATTGGATAAGACTGGCTGATCGATTGACTACTGACTGACTGACTGAGTGACTGACTGAGTGACCGACTGACTGACCGACTGACCGACCGACCGACCGACCGACCGACCGACCGACCGACCGACCGACCGACCGACCGACCGACCGACCGACTGACGGACTGATTGACTGACTGACTGACTGACTTAGTGACCGACTGTCTAACTGACTGGTTGGCTCGCTGGCTGGCTGACTCACTCACTCACCCACTCACTCGCGGACTGACCGTTTTACTAGTCTCTTAGATGGTCAAAAGCCCTCCCATGCAACCATCTGCACCTACCCTGTCTCGCCCATGTGTTTCCATGCATGATTTACCCTCCACCCAACTTACGCAACATCTCAAACCCCTCCCATACCCTCCCCACGCACCCTCTCCCGCGGGCCGATGCATGCACACACCGCAAAAACACTCCCATGCCCTTCCCACGCCCGCTCCCCATGTCCATGCATGCACATACCCACATCGCCCTGTGCAGCTGCCAGGCAATACGGTGAATGGGAGTGCTTCTTCTCCTGCATGGAGCCCTCCACTGCACCCCAACAGGTGGCACTCCAGTGCAAGTTGTTTCCTGAGTATTCTCACCAACCAACTCGCCCTCCCCTCTCCCCCCCCCCCATCGTCCCTCCTGCATGCACATACCCACATCGCCCTGTGCAGCTGCGGGGCAGTACGGCGAGTGGGAGTGCTTCTTCTTCTCCTTTGCAGACCCCGCGTGCCAGCAGATAGTGCGTGAGATGAAGGACAGCAAGGCGCTCCAGTGCTCGCAGTCCTTTGCCTCGCAGGTCGCTGGGTCGTCAGACGTGGTCGCGTGCCTGGACTACATGCCCTATGGGGACCTCGAGATGAAGGCCAATATCACATGGTGGGTTAAATGAGTCGACTCAAAATTCGCCTCGGCTTGGTCGCTAGATGTGGTCGCCTGCCTGGACTACATGCCTATGGGATATCACATGGTGGGCTTAGGTTGAGCTGGGTTGGGTTTTTGGAGTGGGATTTACTGGGTTGGGGTATTCGTAGTGGGTTGGACTGGGTTGGGTTGGGGTAGGTTATGCTGTGTTGCTTTGGGCTGGGTTGGGGCCTCATCCGTCTCCCCTCTCCCCTCCCGTCTCCCTCTCCCCTCCCGTCTCCCCTCTCCCCTCCCTTCTCCCTCTCCCCCTCCCGTCCCCCCTCTCCCCTCCCTCCCGTCTCCCCTCTCCCCTCCCGTCTCCCCTCTCCCCTCCCGTCTCCCTCTCCCCTCCCGTCTCCCCTCTCCCCTCCCGTCTCCCCTCTCCCCTCCCATCTCCCCTCTCCCCTCCCTCTCCCCTCTCCCCTCCCGTCTCCCCCTCCCCTCCCTCTCCCCTCTCCCCTCCCGTCTCCCCTCTCCCCTCCCCTCTCCCCTCTCCCCTCCCGTCTCCCCTCTCCCCCCCCGTCTCCCCTCTCCCCTCCCGTCTCCCCTCTCCCCTCCCGTCTCCCCTCTCCCCTCCCGTCTCTCCTCTCCCCTCCCTCTCCCTCTCCCCTCCCGTCTCCCCTCTCCCCTCCCGTCTCCCCTCTCCCCTCCCGTCTCCCTCTCCCCTCCCGTCTCCCCTCTCCCCTCCCGTCTCCCCTCTCCCCTCCCTCCCCTCCCCCTCCCCTCCCGTCTCCCCTCTCCCCTCCCGTCTCCCCTCTCCCCTCCCGTCTCCCCTCTCCCCTCCCGTCTCCCCTCTCCCCTCCCGTCTCTCCTCTCCCACTTCCCCTCCTCCCCTCTCCCCTCGCCCCTTGCCCCCCTTCCCTCTTCCCTCTCTCCTCTCCCCTCTCCCATCTTTCATATCCCGTCGCCCCTCCCCCACCTCCCCTCTTCCCTCTCTCTGCACCCCTCTCCTTTCTCCCTTTTGCCTTGCCTTCTCCCATCTCCCCTTCTCTCCCTTCTCCCTTTGCCTCTCCCACTAAACCTCTCCTCCCTCCATTCCTCCCCTCTCTCCTCTCCCATCCTTTCTTCCCATCTCTCCTTTCCCCTTTTCCCCCCTGTTCCCTCCCCACTCTGCGCACGCATTGATTTCTTGGAGTGGCAGGCGGTGGGGAGGGCCGCAATGGCAGCAGCCGGACACTGTGTGGCATGTCCCGGGCACAGAGTCGCACAAGGCACACACAATGCAGGTACGCACGCACTTCTGACAAGCCCCAAAATGAGCTCTTCAGGCGTCTCCGAATCAGAGTCAACCGTTGGGATGTTTCAAATAGATGCAAAAGCTGGACACTGTGTGGCATGCTCACTTCACAGCACAGCGTGGCAGAAGGGACAGAAAATGCAGGTATGTATACAGTGCCATGTGTTGGTGATGCCGTTCGGGTGCAGGCGTGCTGTCGTGGTGCATGTGGTGTGGGCAGTGGGAGAGTGGATGGCTGCAGCACAGGTCAACCAGTTGTACAAGCACAAGGTAAACACTGGAATTCACTGTGCGTGCTTAACAGCGCGGTCTCCCCCGCGAGCATGTCTTGTAACCATATCTTCGTTTAGCGGCTCCTCACTGTGAAATGCTAGCGACCAGGGTGGATGATTGGGTGGATGGGGAACAATACAGGGTGGATGAGGAGGAAGAAGCTGCGCCCATCCCTGTTGCTGGTTATCCCCTCGGTCTCCCTCTTTTCGTCTCTCACACGTGCTCTGCATCCCAGGTGGCAAAGTCCAAAACCGTGCACTGTGACCTCAGACAGAGTCGTGCCGAATCCATTCCCCTTCTTCCCCTCGGGACTTCCCTCCCCTCATCTGCCTCTGCATTCCCCTCCCCCTCCCCCTCTCCCTCTCCCTCCTATCCCCTCTCCCTCCCCCTCCCCTCTTCAGGTCCACTGGTGGCGGGCGCAAGCCACGCGCTTCATGCTGCGCTGGCCTTCGGCGTACCTCTGCCACGTGACCAACCGCGTGCGCCACTCCGCCTACGGCCACCGCGTGGCAGCACGCCTCGCCCGCTTCGACATCACACGAGCGGAGCTCCTCCGGGAGTTTGCTGGAGACACAGCAGGCGATGCAGCTCGCAGCAACATCAAGCTGTCGCCGCAAGCCGCAGCCGCCGCTGCCGTGCCGTTCCGGGAAGGGTCGTATAAGCAGGCCCAGGGGTTGTTTCCCTGGGCGCATGGGGCGTGCAGCAAGGATGCGTGCGGCAGCGCGGGGGAGAGGGGGAAGCGGGCGGCGTATCTGAGGGAGATGTTTGAAGGGGTGGGGGGGGAGCCGTATGTGATGAGTCCGATTGTGAGCCTGCATGTGCGGCAGAGCGACAAGGTGGAGGAGATGCAGCTCATGCCGCTCAGCCTGTATATCTTCTATCTCAACAGGCTGCGGCTCATTCGTGCGGATCTGTCTTATGTGTGGCTTAACACCGAGTCGCAGGTATGCGGTGGGTGGATGGGTGGGTGAGGGTTGGGATGTGTGTGTGTGGAGTTTGCGGGTTGCGGCTTGTTGATTGAGCCCTGAAGATTTGTGCATGTGGGGGTGTGTTTCACGAATGCTTTTTGTTGACGTGTGCTGCTTTTTGTGTGTGATTTGCCATGCATTTCCTGTGTCGATGGTAGTTTTTGATTGTGTGTTTTATCCCCCTTTTGTTTTCCCTGGATCTTGGTGCAGGCTGTGATTGATGGGATTGCCAAGTACAAGGACTGGACGTTTATATACTCCAAGAATGCCCGGCAAGATTCATCCACGACTGACACGCGGCACTATGATGACGCACAATCCGTGGCTATAAGCTTTGCGAGTGTACTAATATCTGCGCAAAGCGACTACTTCATTGGGACTCTTGGGTCCAACTGGAGTAGATTGATGAACGAGCTTCGTTCCACAAGTGGACGCCTATTTTATCCGTTTATTGCCATGAACGACGGAGACTGGTGATGTTTATTATTTGCTTGTTCAGTGCTATTTTTTTATGGAAAGCACAAATAAACTCGGTGATTTTGATGTGAATGTTGACATCAGACGTGATAAGAGGATTCGATAGCAATGCACGTCTCTACACTGATGCTCTCCTTATGGCTGCCCTGCGTCTCTGGTTAGTCATCCCTCAACCAATCAGAACGAGGGGACACCTCATGACCCACCCAGCATGCGAAAGCATGTTACAGGGTGTGTTCTTCGGCACCACCTGCTCGCCACAATACGAAAGACAAACCAGCCAGATCACCCACCCCACATACGATCGCCACCACCAGCACCATCCGACCTGCACCATCAGACCAAAATCTAGGCTGCACAACTAGCAGCGTGCCGTCTTCGCGCGCATTTTGCGCTTCACTCAAAATCCCAGCAGATAATACTCTCGATATTTTTCTAGCAGATTTCGCGATCGGACGGTTGTGAAGTGTGAATTTAGGATAGACCGCGTTTCAACATGTTGTCTTCGCGGCAGCGGTTGCTAGAAGTCTGTGTTCCGTGACCAACGCCTAGGATCGAGTCTTCTTTACCTGATCAACCGCTTCGCAAAATGGGTGACGGCTCCTCGCATTTCGCCAGCTCGTCGCATTTCTTAACAAAGGACCCGTCGTTACATTGCCCTATCCGCTCTCGTCGTTGGTTTCTTTCGCCTCGCTCGACCCATTCTCGTGTCGATTCCACCAACACCCTTCAACCATCTGTCACCATGTCTCTAACTTCCTCGTCTCATCCCTCGTCGCGCCATCGATGTCATTACCAACAAAGATCTCGATCTCGCGAACCGCATCGGCGGAAAAGTGCCGTCCAGGCGGTCCCGGACCGCGTGTCACTTGCCACGTCGGCCGTGTTGTGCTGCATCGTCGTGTCGCCGTGGATCTCCGGGATCACGGCGAGCAGCGGCGGCGCGATGCGCCACGTCAGCAGCGATCGAGTGGCCTTGGAACGCGCTAAGAAACTTTTCGAGGTATGGTGTGTGGTGTGTCCAGCAATACTTTGTCAGGCAATAGCTCGTCGAGCAATCTAGCGAGTAATCTCCACCCTTTCAAGACCCTCCTCCGTTGTGCTTACTAGCACCGCTTATCACCGCACCCCACCTGAACCAACACTGCTTGACCGCCCCTTCTTAACCTTCTGTTAACCACTCCATGTTATCCACCGCTTCTGTTCTGCGGCGAGTGTGAGTTTTGGCACATTAGGGGCGTGGTCTCACTGGGCTGATACCAAACATGCCACCTGATACACATACACTGATTAAATGGAGCGCCTAAGTTTCTCTCCCCCGTCCTTCCCCCATTCACCTCACTCTATACCGCTGTCTCCTCTTCCCCCTCTTCCCCCCCCCTCCCCCCCCCTCTCCCCCCACCCCGTTCCCTTATTCTCTCCCCCTCTCCCTCTCCCCTCCCCCGCGTCCCTTCCCTCCGCTTGTCCCCCTTCCCCGCGCGAGAAGGACTGGGAATCCGTGTATGGGCTAGCCAACGGCTCCCTATCCCCGCCTCCCGCGCTCGCCTTCCCCCCAGGCGTGCCCCCCGCGCCCCACCTTGAGGACTGCGCTGCGCGCACGGCTGCGCGCGCGCGCGCGGAGGCGAGGGGCCCGAACGGGGAGGCGCCCGCATGGGCGCGCGCGGGGGAGTGCTGCCAGTGCAGCGCGGCCGTTCCCCCCGCCAACTGCACCCCGCAAACGCCTTGGGTAGGGCTTCTTGCGGAGCGGGGGAAGGGGGGAGAGGGGGGAAGAAGCTGGGGGCGGAGGGGAGGGGTGGGGGGAAGGGTGAGGCTTGGGGCTTCTGGGGGGTTGTGGTAGGGTGGGGGCTTTGGGGGGTAGAGGGAACTTTAGAGAGAGGAGGGGCTGGGAAGGTGGGGGGGATTTGAAGAGGAAGGAGAGGCGGTTGGTAAGGAAGGAAAAAGATGTGGAGGATGGATAAGTGTTAATGCTATTATGAAACCAGAGTCTCCACTTTCCTATGTTCCTAAGCGGGGAAGAGGGTATTTCCCCTTCCCCGCTTCCCTTCCCCATCCCCTCCGTCCTCGTCGCTCTCTCCTACCGTCCGTCCCCAAATCCCGCACCCCTCCCCTCTCTCCCCCTCCGCTCCTTCCTCCCTTCTCCTTCCCCCCTGCTTGAGATCCACGGACCAGATGCAGCAAGCTTCGCTTCACACTAACGCACAAAGCACAGAGGAACCTCTGCAGAGTACCAACCAGTTCCCTTCCCTGCCTGCTCCTCTCCTCAACTCACTGCATCCTGCTCCCCTCCTCCCCTCCCATCCACTGCATCCTGCTCCCCCCTCCCTCCCCACTCCCGCCCCACCTCACCCCCCTATTCCCCCCTCCCCTTCCGCCCTCCTCTTCTCAGATTCGCGGACCAGACGCAGCAAACCTCGGCCTAACCCGCACAGCACAGCAGGACCTATGGGCGAACCAGTTCCCTTCCCCCCAGAGACTGCCCCTTGCGTTCCAGCTCATTCCCCTCCCCAACCCCCAAACCCACTCCATCCCATTCTCCCTCCCCCGTCCCTTTCCCCCTGTTCCCCGCGTTCTCCCCCCCGCCCCAGATCCGCGGACCAGACGCAGCAAACCTCGGGCTAACCCGCACGGCGCAGCAGGACCTATGGGCGAACCAGTTCCCGCCCCCCCCGGACTGCCCCTTGCGTTCCAGCTCATTCCCCTCCCCAACCCCCAAACCCACTCCATCCCGTTCTCCCTCCCCCGTCCCTTTCCCCCTGTTCCCCGCGTTCTCCCCCCCGCCCCAGATCCGCGGACCAGACGCAGCAAACCTCGGGCTAACCCGCACGGCGCAGCGGGACCTATGGGCGAACCAGTTCCCGGCCCCCCCGGACTGCCCCTTGCGTTCCAGCTCATTCCCCTCCCCAACCCCCAAACCCACTCCATCCCGTTCTCCCTCCCCCGTCCCTTTCCCCCTGTTCCCCGCTTTCTCCCCCCCGCCCCAGATCCGCGGACCAGACGCAGCAAACCTCGGCCTAACCCGCACAGCCCAATGAGACCTATGGGCGAACCAGTTCCCGGCCCCCCCGGACTGCCCCTTGCGTTCCAGCTCATTCCCCTCCCCAACCCCCAAACCCACTCCATCCCGTTCTCCCTCCCCCGTCCCTTTCCCCCTGTTCCCCGCTTTCTCCCCCCCGCCCCAGATCCGCGGACCAGACGCAGCAAACCTCGGCCTAACCCGCACAGCCCAATGAGACCTATGGGCGAACCAGTTCCCGGCCCCCCCGGACTGCCCCTTGCGTTCCAGCTCATTCCCCTCCCCAACCCCCAAACCCACTCCATCCCGTTCTCCCTCCCCCGTCCCTTTCCCCCTGTTCCCCGCTTTCTCCCCCCCGCCCCAGATCCGCGGACCAGACGCAGCAAACCTCGGCCTAACCCGCACAGCCCAATGAGACCTATGGGCGAACCAGTTCCCGGCCCCCCCGGACTGCCCCTTGCGTTCCAGCTCATTCCCCTCCCCAACCCCCAAACCCACTCCATCCCGTTCTCCCTCCCCCGTCCCTTTCCCCCTGTTCCCCGCTTTCTCCCCCCCGCCCCAGATCCGCGGACCAGACGCAGCAAACCTCGGCCTAACCCGCACAGCCCAATGAGACCTATGGGCGAACCAGTTCCCGGCCCCCCCGGACTGCCCCTTGCGTTCCAGCTCATTCCCCTCCCCAACCCCCAAACCCACTCCATCCCGTTCTCCCTCCCCCGTCCCTTTCCCCCTGTTCCCCGCTTTCTCCCCCCCGCCCCAGATCCGCGGACCAGACGCAGCAAACCTCGGCCTAACCCGCACAGCCCAATGAGACCTATGGGCGAACCAGTTCCCGGCCCCCCCGGACTGCCCCTTGCGTTCCAGCTCATTCCCCTCCCCAACCCCCAAACCCACTCCATCCCGTTCTCCCTCCCCCGTCCCTTTCCCCCTGTTCCCCGCTTTCTCCCCCCCGCCCCAGATCCGCGGACCAGACGCAGCAAACCTCGGCCTAACCCGCACAGCCCAACGAGACCTATGGGCGAACCAGTTCCCGGCCCCCCCGGACTGCGCGGGGCGGCGCGTGGCGCTGACGGTGTGGCCGACGCTGCACCACGGGCTGGGGTCGCAGCTGCACATCATGTCGTCCTTCCTCAGCCTCGCCCTGCGGTTTAATCGAACTCTTGTCATCAAGCCGGAGACGTTCAACAGGGCCACGCAGGCCTGCAGAGGTGCGTGCAGGCAGGGGGGCTGGTGGTGGGGGGGAAGGAGGGGTGGGAGGGAGGGAGGGGAGAGAAGGGGGGGTGGGAAGGGGGAGGTGCGTGCAGGCATGGGGGCTGGCGTGGGGGGGAGATGGGGGGAGAAGGGGGAGTGGTGGGGTGGAGGAGTGGGTCGAAGAGAGGGCAGTGCTGGGGGGGAAGGAGAGGGGGGAAGAAGGGGGGAGTGGTGGGGAGTGGTGGGGGGTTGTGTGTGTCTGTGTGTATATGTGTGTGCGCACAAGACATCTATCCATCCATCCATCCATCCATCCATCCATCCATCCATCCATCCATCCATCCGTCCATCCATCCATCAACCCTCCTCTCATACAAGTTTCCTGCTCATCCGTCTCCTTTCCACCTTCCCCTCTCCTCTTTCCCCGTTCCCTCCCTCCCCCACTCCTCCCTTCCCCCGACCTGGGCCAGGGCAACAACTAAGAGTTCTATTTCTTCCCCACTGGGCTCCTTCCCTGCCCGTCCCACTCCCTTCCCCACTATTTTCCATCCCGCTCCCTCCCTTCTCCACCCCCCTTTCCCTCCCCCTCCCCCTTCCAGGCCTGGGCCTGGCTAACAACCTCAAGTGCTATTTCTTCCCATCACTCACTCCCTTCCCCGCTCTTCCCCTTCCCTGCCCCCCCCCTATCCCTTTTCTTCCCCCCTTCCCTTCCCATACCCCCCCCTTTTCCCTCCTTCCCCCCGCCCCTCGCTAGACCTGGGCCAGGGCAACAACTTGGAGTGCTACTTCTTCCCGCTAGGCGCCCCCGCATGCTTGCATTGCAGGTGACACTGGTAGCGGAGGCAACAGGGGAGGTGGTCAACAGCGACGGCACAGCTCTATCTCCTTCCTTAACACCCGTTTTTCTCCTCATCCTCCCCCTTTTCCCCCCGGTCCCGCCACCTCCCCCCCCCTCCCATCTCTGCACTTCAACGCCCCTCCCCCCTTCCCCGCTTCCCTCTCCCCCCTGCAGACCTGGGCCAGGGCAACAACTTGGAGTGCTATTTCTTCCCGTTGGGCGCCCCTGCGTGTTTGCAGGTGGCACTGGCAGCGGAGGCGAAGGGGGAGGTGGTCAACAGCGACGGCGTGGCCATGGAGGAGAGGGAGCGCATTCTGGCGTCGGATGCGGTGGTGGTGCAGGTGGCCAATACAGGGCTGTTCGGTGAAGTGGGTGCCACCGAGTGAGTGGGGAGGGAGAGTGGGGAGGGAGAGGGAGCGGATATTGGGTTCGGATGCGCTGGTGGTGCAGGCAGCGAACTTGGGGCGCCACCAGGTGAGTGAGAAGGGGGGAGTGGGAGGGGGGAGAGGCAGTGGGAGGGAGAGTGGGGGGGAGAGTGGGGGCGAGAGGGAGTGGGAAAGGGGAGTGATGGGGAGGGAAGAGGGAGGGAGTGAGTGAGGCAGAGAATGGAGGGAGGAGATGGAAGGTGTTTGGGAGGAGGGGCGAGGCGAGGTGGTGAGCAGCAACGGGAAAGCCATAGAGGAGAGGGAACACATTCTGGGAAGGGGAGGACTTGTGAGACTTACAAAGACGTGCGAAGAGAAAGGGTGAGCGAGGAAATGGAAGGTGCAAGGGAGGGAATGGGAGCCGGAGGCGGTGGGCAGGGGGAGGGAAGGGGGAGGGCAGGGTGATTAGGTGGAGCGGCCAAGCACAGGTGGAGCAGACTTGGGGCCATTGGAGTTTGAGACACTGGTTCTTCGGGGCTTCGACCTGCGGTGCGGTGGCCATTGCAGGGGTGCTTTCTGAAAAGGACGAGGAAAAGTGTGTGTGGGTAAGTTAGTGGGGGAGGAAGGCGTACAAGGAGAGCGAGGTGTGTATGCACGCAGGAGGCGAGGGAGGTGGGGTGGTAGGGTGGCAAGGAGGGGGTGAGGGATGGAGGGATGGAGGGAGGAAGGGAGGGAGGGAGGGAGGCATGGAGGGAGTGGGTGGAAGGGTGATGGGGGGGATTGTATGTGTGGAAAGGGGGGAGGGGAAGGAGGGGAGTGTGATCTAGGGAGGGGGAGTGGGATTTAGGGAGGGGGAGTGGAATTTAGGGAGGGGGAGTGGGATTTAGGGAGGGGGAGTGGGATTTAGGGAGGGGGAGTGGGATTTAGGGAGGGGGAGTGGGATTTAGGGAGGGGGAGTGGGATTTAGGGAGGGGGAGTGAGATTTAGGGAGGGGGAGTGGGATTTAGGGTTGTGTGTGTTGAAAGAGTTGGGCAGGGCGGGAATGCGTGTGTTTCTAGTTGCCCGTGTGTTGGGTGGGTGCATGCATGTTCATACGATACTTGTAGGTATGTGCATCCATGCGTACATGTGTGCATGTGTGCATGTGTGCACGTGTGCATGTGTGCATGGGTGCATGTGTGCACCCGTGCATGTGTGCATGTGTGCATGTGTGCACGTATGCGTGTGTGCATGTGTGCATGTGTGCATGTGTGCATGTGTGCATGTGTGCGTGTGTGCGTGTGTGCATGTGTGCATGTGTGCACCCGTGCATGTGTGCATGTGTGCACGTATGCGTGTGTGCATGTGAGTGTATATGCATCATCATCCTCGTCCCTTATGGCATGTCCTTCTCACTTCTCTCCCCCTCACACCCTCTCACCCTCTCAACCCCTCACCCTCTCACCCCCCTCACCCCCCTCAGCCTGTGGGGTGCTCCATCTCTCGACCGGCCATTCTCAATACAGCAGCTGGGGAGAATACAAGGCCAGTACTTCGCATGGGGACAGGTCCGTTGCCCTTAGAACTCTCTCCATACGAAAACCGCGAGGCATGAGACGACCTCTTAAGTTGGGTTGGGGAGGATACAGGGCCAGTACTTTCGCATGGGTGGGGTCAGGTCCGTTGCCCTTAGAACTCCCCATATCCAATCGGCCCATATTCCATTCGCAAAGCTATTTTCATGGCCTCGCTTCTCACCCTTTTCAGCGGAAGGTGGAATTTGAGCGAGAGGGCGCAAGGCCCGTGCAGCAACGGTACGCAATGGTACACAGAAGCCACCTCGCTACACTCACGCTACTCACAGCCCCGTTTTCACGGCCGCAGCTCCCTCGCCGTCTTGTGGGGAGGGTGCAAGGGCAGAAGCTTCTTGATTCATGAGCAAGGCTAGGTAGCCCAGTATGACGCACGGGTCCCCAGGTCAGTAAGTCGTATTTCAGTTGCAGCTGTCTCGCAATGGGTGGGTGCTCTGTCGCTGTCTGTGTTACAATGGGTGGTCTGTGTCACGTCACGTCCCCTCAGCGACAGAGGAAACTATTGCCGCTCAGCGCACAGCAGCAGCTCAGGCGCAGGGGCGCTGCTGCGCTTCTACGCTGAGACGATTTGTGAGGCGCCTCAAAAATCAGTGTAGAGGCGTTGCTGCTGCTGCAGCTGCACGCTGATCTCTGCACATGCGTTGTTTCCCCTCCTGTGCTCAACTGCAGGGGAGAGGCTCTGTGTTGCTTGCTCTTTCAGTGGTCTCATTGCATCCACCCAACCCAACCCAACCCAACCCAACCCAACCCGACCCGACCCCTGCCCACCCCCCCTCGTGCCTCCCATGTTCATCTCCTCTCGTCTCGTGCTCAACTCGCCGGTTATTCATCCCCCACATGCCAGAACGACGATGTGCTTCCATTTCCTCAACCCCTCCCCGAACCCCACCCCTCCCACCCCTACCCCTCAACTTCTCTTCCACCCGCAACCCCATCCTTTCCCCTCCCACTCCCCTTCCCCGTCCCCGTCCCCGTCCCCTCCCCTTCCCCCTTCCTAACCGTTTCCTCTTCCCCCTCGCACTGCCCCGTGGCAACCATAGCCCTAACCAGCTATTCTTCAACAACACAAATCCAGCCCTCCCTTTCTTCTTTCTCTCCGCAGCCGCACTGGTGCCAACCCTCCCACTGCCTTCTGCCTTCTGCTTAATGCTGCGTTCAACCAAAAGAGGCACCCAATTCACAAACATCAAGCCGCCTTTTGCCCCTTTCTCCCTTACCTCTCCGCAGGCGCGCTGGTGGCGGTCGCAAGCCCTGCGCTTCATGCTGCGCTGGCCCTCCGCGCCTTTTGAGACGTCTCAAAGGTCCCCTTTCTCCCGTTCCCCTCTGCAGGCGCGCTGGTGGCGGTCACAGGCGCTGCGCTTCATGCTGCGCTGGCCCTCCTTGCACCTGTGCCACGCCACCAACCGCATGCGCCACTCCGCATACGGCCTCCTAGTAGCAGACCGAGTAGTATCCTTTGCCCTCAAGCAGGCCGACCTGCTACAAGCACTCAACGCCTCTGCTGCTGCTGCTGCTGCTGCTGCTGCTGCCGGCAGTGCTAGCAGCACTGTTCCTCCCGCCTCCTCCTCCTCCTCCTCTTCCTCGTCGCCCACCTCTCAATACCCCTCCCAGTTTCCATCTGCCGATCTAGCAGATGATCTTCAATTCCTCTCCTCCTCTCCCATCGCCTCTCCTCCGTCCACCTCCACCCCTCCCTCCTCCCCTCTCGTCTCCCCTCCTCCCACTGCCGCTCCTTCCACTCCCTCCCCACCCTCCCCCCCCTCCCCCCCATCCCTCGCCTCCCACATCCTGCCCCTGCAAGGCCTAGCGGGCTGCAGCAGCTGCAGCAGCAGCAGCACCAACTCTCCACCACAACCACCATCCACCTGCACATGGGCCGAGAGCGCTCGCGTGTACCAAGAAGTGGGCGCCCCCCCGTTCATGCTGCGGCCGGTGATCAGCATGCATGTGCGGCAGGGCGACAAGGGCATCGAGATGTCGCTGCACTCGCTCGCCAGCTTTGTCTTCTTCGCCTACCGCATGCGCCGCCACCGGCCGGACCTTCAATACATCTGGCTCAGCAGCGAGATGGAGGTGAGGAGGTGACTGTGTTGGTTACTTGTGGAAGCACGTGGATTGTATGATGCTGTATGAATGTATGTGCTGCGTGCATCTTCACTCGCTCGCCAGCTTTGTCTTCTTTGCGTACCGCATGCGCCGCCACCGGCCGGACCTGCAGTACATCTGGCTGAGAAGTGAAATGGAGGTGAGGAGGAGGGGGCTTTAGATTCCACTCAAAAGGTCCGTGTCGTCGCTCGCTGCCACGAGCCTGACTTGTGGTGTATCTGGCTTAGCAGCACGATGTTTGTGCTGGAGTTACACAGGATGGCTGTGCTAGATATTTGTGGATATATGTAGTATGATGTATGTTCTTCATACAACATACATATGCACATACAAACATCATATGAAGTATGTACTTGATGCATGCATGTTTCTGTGGCCTTCCCCTATTGCGATCCCACTCTCTCCTTTGACTACCCTCAGTTCCCTTCCACCACTTCCCCATTCCCCCATTTACCCCCCCCCCCCCCCCCCCTTCATCCATTCACCTTTTCCCCTTCCCCCTTTCCCTCTTCCCCCTTTCTCCCTTTCGCCTTTTGCCCCCTTCCCCTTCCCCCCTCCCCACTCCCTTCCAGTCAGTGATGGCAGCAGCATAGACCTTCCCGGACTGGACCTTCCTCTACGCCGGCAGCAACAGACATGAGAATTGTTGCACTCATTTGCCCCGCATTCCTCACCTCTTTCTTCCCCTCCTTCCCCCCTCCCCACTCCCCTCCAGTCGGTAATGGCAGCAGCAGAGACCTTCCCCGACTGGACCTTCCTCTACGCCAGCAGCAGCAGAGCAACGGACGTGGAGCAGATGAAGCAGCAGCAGTTCTCAGGCCAGCAGCCCATAGCAGAGATCTTCGCCAACTTGCTCATCACATCGGAGAGCGATTATTTCATTGGCTCGCTGGGTTCTAATTGGAATAGGGTGATTGATGAGCTGCGCTCCACTGGCGGGAAGCTGTTTGGGGGTTTGGTGACTCTGACGCATGGGGTTTAGATCACTGTGCGGTGCAGTGCGGTGGAGCTTTTATCTTGTGAATGTTATGGGTGGAGTCATTCTAAGGTACTCTCCGTACATAAGTGTTGTCCCAAAGGTAATGAGTATTGTGCTGTAATGCCAATTTCAACAAGGCACCTCCAACATTGCAACAAACAAGCCAAGTTCTTTAAGCCTACAGCCCACGTTGCACACCACAAAGCAAGAAATGATTGCTAAGTTTAGCTTTTGTCCACGTAGGGTCGACTTTTTAGAGGTGTATCTTTTCGCCACACCCAACCTCTCCACGTCCTCCCGACTAACAAGCGGGTGAGTGAGTGCTCACCGCTCGAGGACACATACCATGACAATAAAATACCTACGTTAATTCCTCCTCCCATCTACCGTACTATGTACCGGGGCTATCACAAAAGAACTCTCGATACACCTCGTCTAGAGACGGATCCGCGTCTCTCATCCGGCGCAGCAGCAGCTGCTGCGAGTCGCGCGTGCTGAGCTTCCAGGGGTGCAGCGCGGGGATGCGCGTGGAGTAGGACGCGTTGGCATCGTCGCGCTGAGCGTCCCAGAGGTAGACTATGGTGTCGAGCGCTGGGTCCCACTGCGAGAAGGGCTCCACACACAGTAGCATGTTGCCTACGGCCACCTGCAGAGGAGAGGAGAGCAGGGAGAGAGGGGCCTTTTGAGACGTCTCACGAGTGGTCCCAGAGGTAGACTGTCCGAGGTATGGAAGCACTGGGTACCACTGCGAGAAGGGCTCCACACACAGTAGCATGTTGCCTACGGCCACCTGACAGGGAGAGGGAGGTATGGGAGCGGGTAATGGGAATGACCTTTGAGTCGACTCAAGAGGGGGGAGCGGGGAGTCGTTTGAGGCACCACAAAACTCGCGCAGAGCGTCTCAGAGGTAGACCGAGGTGTGGAGCACTGGGTGGGTCTCACTGCGAGAAGGGCTCCACACACAGCAGCATGCTGCCCTGCCCATAGCCACCTGGCGGAACGGAGAGCAGGGAGAGATGGGACTTGACTTGAGATTCGACTCAAAAGTCGTTCCGGAGGTAGACCGTGGTGTTGAGTACGAGGTGGGTGCCACTCTGGGAAGCACCTGGAAGGGCTCCACGCACAGCAGCGTGTTGCGTACATGCTACAGTCACCTGGAGTGAGGGATGCGGCATGGGAGGGGGGTCGAGGCGAAGGAAATGGGAGGTCGCAGTCTTCCTGCCTAGAACAAGGCACAGTCAAGGGAATGGGGACGCACAGTCAAGCATCTCTATCTCACCTAACACGCATCATCACACCAAACCTCACCGCACCTCATCTCACCGCATCTCACCTCTGAGTAAACGCGACCGAATGCAGGAAGCAGGTGGGTGGCGATGAGGGGACCAAGGCGCATGGGCACATACACCACATCCGTAATGCGCTTTGTGCACATCCCCCTGTGCCCCACAGTCGCCTCATCTCTCCGCATCTCACCTCTGAGTACACGCGACTGAACGCAGGCAGCAGGTGCTGGGCAATAACAGGCGCAAGGCGCATGGGCACATACACCACATCCACTATCCGCTTCGTGTACATCCCCTTGTGCTCCACAGTCGACTCTTCAAACTGCGCACGCAGGGGCGGTGACAGGCTGTCCAGCGCCGTGCGCACCATTTGTCTTATTCGGGGGAGGTTGGTGTAATCGGGCGTGTTCGGAGTGAATGGGCCCGAGGGGGAGAGGGAGACCCAGCGGTAAGTGAGAGTGGGGTTGTTGGCCAACCAGATGCGTGACTGTGAGAGAGGGGAGGGGGCGGAGTAAAAGGCGGGATGTGGGGAAAAAAAAAAAATTTACGCGTATCATCATGTCTTGAGACGTCTCAAGAAACGACTTGAATCCTGATTGCCATCATCGGCCGATAATCACCATGGGTGTTTCATCCCCCCTTGCTCGCGATTTTGTTGCCACCTCTCCTCCATCCTTTCATCTCTCCCTCTACCACAAACCCCCCCATCCCCTATCAGAACCAACTTCTTCCCCTCTTCCCCTCCCTCTCCCCCTCTTCCCCTCTCCACTTCCGCCAGCCCACCCTCTCCCCCCTATCCCCGCCAGATTTCCACCCCCCTCCTTCACCTCTCATCTCCTCCCCCCCCCCACCCCAAGCACCGTATTGGCACCGGCAAGGATCAGTAGTTGAGGATAACGTCGTCGTTGCACCAGAGCACAGAGCACGCCGGCACGGCAGCGACTTTTGATACGTCTCAAAAGTCCCCTCTCTACCCGACCATCCCCCCTCCTCCTCAAAGCACCGTATTGGCACCGGCAAGGGTCCAGTAGTTGAGAATGACGTCGTCGTTGCACCAGAGCACGCCGGCCGCAGAGGGGTAGCGATGGAAGACGTCTGCCAGCGTGGCGTGCGCGAAATACCACAGCGTGCGCTTGCTGCTCGTGCTGCTCGCATTGCTGCTGCCATCCACCCCCGCTGCTCGCAGCTGGGAAGAGAGGTGGGAGACATGGGGATTGGGCGAAGGAGGGAGGTGGGAGACGGGGGAAGGGAGAAGGATGGAGGGAGAAGGGGAGAGAGAGACGAGGGGGGGAGAGGAGAGGGGAGGGGGGGAAGGGGGAGGGGGGAAAGAATGGCAGAGGCGTAGGAGATTTGGGGTGCGGAATTTTTGAGTCTATTCCACCTTCAGTCAGTCATGCAGACTCTCAACGATTGTACGAGCGACGAGCAAGGAAACATGAGGACACGCCACCTTCCAAAACGCCCTCTCTCTTGCGTAGTGGATTTGGTTTGAAAACACCATAACGTATAGAGCAGAGGGGGCCCCCCAACAGAAATTTCTACTAACAGCACGGATGGACGCACGCATGCACAATGGAAAGCGCCTAAATACAGAGCACGCCAGTCTCTCACTGGCAGCACGCTGAGCTTTGGGATTGCCCAGTCGAAATAGACCTCTATGTGATCACATTTTGAGTCGAACACACGCTGACTTTGGAATCGGCTCAAAATGTGATCTCTCACCGGCAGCACTCCAAGCTCAGGGATTGCCTTGCCCGAGTAAACCACTATGTTGCACCCGCAGAGCGCCAGGGCATGTGCGGGATTTGTGTGCGGGATCCGACAAGATCCTCACAAATCCTGCTTCTCTCACCGGCAGCACGCCGAGCTCTGGGATTGCGTCGTCGGAGTAGACCACTATGTCTTGGAACACGCGCCCGTACACCCGCCTCAGCAGCGCCACGGACGCGTTGACGTGCGGCGCGCGGTTGTACAGCAGCGCCAGCACCACTCCGCGCAGCTGCGCGCGCCATAGGGTCAGGTTCGCGGGCTCGCGGGGGGAGGGGTCAGTGGGGGCAAAGCATAGGGGATCCGCGTGCGCGCAGGGCTGCGGAGGGCTGGGCGCGGCGGGGCAGGGGGCGGCGATTGGGGAGAGCTGTGTCGGGGGTAGAACGGGTGGAAGGAGGGGAAGGGGAGGTGAATGGGAAGGAGTCGTAGGAAAGTGGGGAGTAATGGAGGGACGATGAAGTGGGGACGGCGACCTGGCGTGCGCGATGGGACGGCAGCGAAGGACGGAACGGGGAGGAGGTGGGGCGGTGAGAGGGGAAGGGGAGGGAGGCGAAGGGAAGGGAAGTGCGGGGAGTGATATATGAAGTGATATAAGCGGTAAGGAGCAAGTAAAAACGGATTTTTTTAAGAATTCTCAGGGTATTTTTGAGAAGGAGCAAATAAAGAGGGAATATTTGAGAATTTTAAGGGTAGTTTCGAGAATTCTCGAAAATACCTGCCAGTGATACAAGCGGGTAAGGAGCAAAGAAAGAGGGCGGCCTACTACAGCACACACGACGCCGCCGCGACGCGGCAGCAGCTTCGCAGCAGCGGCGGCGCACCTGGAGAGGGTCGCAGTCGCGCGGCGGTCCGGCGCGGAAGGCAAGCAGGAGGGAAAACGAGTCCCTCCCCGAGAGGAAGAGGTACAAGAATAGGAGCACGAGCGTAATGCAGCAGCCCGATGCCGCGCTGACGTGCCACTGGCGCAGCGTCGGCGCAATCCATGCCGGAAACGGCGGAGTCGCCTTTTGCGAGATCATTTCACGAGGTGACAAATGGTGGCGATTGGGAGATACGGAGGCGCGCCCGGATCCAACGGTGGCATGGATATCATCATCGTGACTGAAACTGTGATTACGGTTGTGAGACTTCTCAAAAAAATGATCTGAACGTCGAGGGCCGCCGCGCGCGATCCATCTGACGGCGCGGCGCCACCACTCCATCGCGGATGGAGGTGATGATTGCGCGCCGCCTATTACTGGCGATGAGCGATTCGCAGTGACAGATGCGGCGCAGGAAAGGTAAGAGTGGAGCTGTATCGGGCTCTTGAATGTAGTGGGTCTCCAAAGTGCAACGGTGCTGTTGTAGTAGGATCATAGCTATTAGGAGTTTTTCGGGAACGACTGAGGACGGCTGGAGGAAAGGGAAAGGGGCAATTGCGGTTGCCGTGTTGAGGAGGTGAGGAATGTGAGGGCGGTGGGTGAGTAACATTCGAGGGTGCCGTTATGTCAGTTCGCAACAGCCGTTTAGATTGGGACTGCCGTGTCTGTTTCCATTGGGACTGTTTTGAAGGTTTGACAGTACTAGATTGTGTTCCAGTTTTAAGCCCAGGTCAGTCTGAAGAATTACTCTGTACATTCCTGGAATTACTGCTACTTGTTGGGGGCAGGTTCAAAGTGACGTTCTTGTGAACACTGGCATGGGTGGCCGAACTGTGCTACTTGTGATATACGAGGAACACATTCTTGGGATCCATGCACGACTCGCTTTGTCTAAACGCGACCTCAAATTTCACCCCATTCTTGCTGGTTTGACATGACATTCACATCGGCGGGACGTCAGCCGGTTCGATCAATCCCCTCCATCCGATCCGCCGGAGCGCACCATGGAGGGTTCCTCCTCCGAACAGCCGCGCCTTGCAAGCATGGCGAGGAAGAGGAGTGCTGCTGGTCAAGGGGGGAAAGCCGCAGATTTTCAACCGCACGATCGACCACATTCGTAGATTCTGCATGGCTGGCTCAAGATCCAGCAAGGGACGTACGAAGCCCCTTCTCAAACCGATTTCCTCGCTTGTACACGAGGCCTAGGTCTGCATGTTTTACTTCATCTATAATAGAACATTTTGTTACACTCCAAGTTCCAACCATAACACAACTATTAATGCCGATTGTGGATGTTTGCATGATTCTCTGTAGGGCATCCGTTGAAGAAGAGACAGAAAAACCAATCCACGGCCCTAGTGCAGATCGGTGGGAGGACGAGGGGGGGGGGAAGGAGACGCAGGAGTCTTCATCAGTCGGACCCGGTAGGGAAAGCAGATGGGAGACTGTGCACGGTATGCCAAAAAGCCTTGTCAAACGTCGAAGGTGACTCGAATCCATTTCATTCAAACACATTTTATCATTCTTCAAGATCCAACGTAACATGGCCAGCAAACCCCCTACCATTCGTAGCTCGCAGCCCATTGAGCAAGCCATGCCAAGCAGACCCCCTAGCCCCTACGAAATAATCACTCTCCGATGCAATCAGAAGCGTCGCGAGGCGACTGCTGGTAACCTCTGGTAACCCCACCGCCTTCTCATACTCGGCAAACGCTTGGCCTTGTTGCAAGCGGGCGTTTTGCGAGTGGATGAAGGTCCAGTCGGGGTGGTGGTGCGACTCCTCTATCACCGACTGTTGTGGATGGGATCAGGCAGAGAGAGGGAGAGAAAGTGATGTAGGGAATGGTGTGGGAAGGGGGAAGACGAGGTATTTGATGCAATCCCAAGTGAAGCCAGGCAAGGCAACTTCCTGTAACCTGTGGTGAAGGGGAAAAAGATGGAGAGGCACTGGGCCAGGCAGGGCGGCAGTCCTGCGATTCCAGCCTGCTTCGGTGATGAGCAGCAAGCGGCAGTCGTGTGAGGCCAGGACTGAGGCAAGGACAAAGGTTGAGAAGGAGGAGGAGAAGATTGGGAGGTAGCAGGTGGTGAGGTGACGGCGGTGGTGGTGTGAGGTTGACAAAGTGCTGGTGAGGAGCAGTGCTGGTGTGAAGCTACAAGCTTGTAGAAAGCCAAGTGGTGGTATGTGGCTAAGTGCGGGTGGAGGAGTCGCATGCAAGGGGTTGGAAGGCTTTGATACAAAGAGCAACAGATATGCACACAGGTGCTGTGGAGAGGTGGGAGTGGGTGGGAGTGATGGCGACGGGGGGAGGTTGGAGTCATCTTTAGATGAGGCGGGGTAGAGCAGCAGCAGGCACGGTACCCACCCCCCCCCACACACACACGGTATGAGCTTCATTCGTCATATGGACCAGCATTCTCGTGTAGACATGGTGGTATAGGAGAAGAGATATGTGGCGTCACGTAAGGAGACTTGTGGTGACCTTGAAAGGCATCACCAGGGCAGAAGCGGGGCAAGAGAGTATGGCAGCAGAGGAGCATAGCACAGCATAGCATAGCACCGCATAGCATAGCATAGCACAGCATAGCATAGCACCGCATAGCATAGCATAGCACAGCATAGCATAGCACCGCATAGCATAGCACCTTATAGCATAGCACAGCATAGCACAGCATAGCACAGCATAGCATAGCACAGCATAGCACAGCATAGCATAGCATAGCATAGCATAGCATAGCATAGCATAGCATAGCATAGCATAGCATAGCATAGCATAGCATAGCATAGCATAGCATAGCATAGCATAGCATAGCATAGCATAGCATAGCATAGCATAGCATAGCATAGCATAGCATAGCATAGCATAGCATAGCATAGCATAGCATAGCATAGCATAGCATAGCATAGCATAGCATAGCATAGCATAGCATAGCATAGCATAGCATAGCATAGCATAGCATAGCATACCTGAGCGAGAGTGCTGAGCCAGATGTATCTCATATCCGGAACAGCCAACCGCAAGCGATGCACAAACCCCATCATCGCACTCAGCATCAACCCCCACCTCTCCTCCCCCACCAACCCCTTCGACGCACCCACCCCTCCTGCCCCTCCTCCTCCCCCTCCCTCGTCCCCTCCTCTGTCGCCACTCAGCGCCAGCTGCACACTCACGATTGGCCGCATCACATACACCTCCCCCCCAACCCCCTCGTAATCCCTATCCACAACCACCCTCCCTCTGTTCTTCTCCGACTTGGCAAACGCATCATCCTCCTCCGCTCTCCCAGTCAGCCCACCACCCCTCGCATCAGGACACCCCGCAAACCCCTCCCCGAGCCACCCCCTGGAGTGCAGAGTCCAAGCAGAGGTGAAGTTGAGATGGGATAGAGCCACGGCCTCTTCTGAGCCGTTGATCTTGTTGATGTTCTCGGGCGTGCCGTCTGGGTTGGCCACGTTGCGGATGATGGCGGTCTGCTGGTTGCGGGAGAGCAGCAGGTGCGTGGCGACGCGCAGCCCGTACGCGGAGTGGCGCATGCGGTTGGTGGCGTGGCACAGGAGCGCCGAGGGCCAGCGCAGGAGGAAGCGCACGGCTTGGGCCTGCCACCAGTAGGCCTGGGGGGGGCCCGGGGGAGGGGGGGTTGGGGGGTGGGGTGGAAGGGGGAGAGGGTGGGTGGGGAAGGGGAGAAGGGAGAAAATGGGAGAGGTTTTGGAGATGTCTGTTAAAAGAGTCAATCGGCTTTAGTGTGGCATCGTCACTCCTTACCATGCCCCCCCCCTCCTGTACACTCGCCTGCTGCTGCTGATACTTGTTGATTGCTCACCCAACTCAAGAATTGACTTCGGGATCGAGTCTATAAAAAAGGCGACTCATAAACCAACTAAAAAACGACTGAGAATTGACTCAATAGGAACTGACTGGAAAGTTGACTCAAAAGGGCGCGACACAGAAGAGCCACTGACCTTGAGCGTGGCATCGTCGTTCCTCACCACTCCCTCCACCTCCAACAAACTCGCCTGCTGTTGATACGCCTTGCCCCACCGGCTGTTGGCCGTGAGGGAAGGGGGAAGAGAAAAGAGAGGAGAGGGGAGAGAGGTGGAAAAGGGAAGAAAGGAGAGGGGTGGAAAGGGGCGGGGAAAGAGGAGAGCAAGGAGGGGAAAAAACTGAGAGAGTGAAGGAAGATGCTAATCAAGACTTAAAGGCATCATGCCGCACACCCCTTTCCCTTATGCGTCTCAGAAACGTAGCCAATGGCAGTTTGACCTTTGCATGGCCTCCCGTCCTATGCCCCAATGACAATCACAAAGTGTCAAGGTGCTTGAACAAAGACGGGAGGCCATGCAAACGAATGATACCATCACAGCTAACCTATACTAGTGAGTTGATACTTGAAACACTATTGAGAGACCTATGGATGGACTCTCCACTACACAAAGCAACAAGACAAAGAGCAGCAAGGAAATGGCGGAAAAGGGGCTGCTAAAGAAAACATACTCAGCAGCAGCGGCGGCGGCAGAAGCAATAGCCTGTCTCCCCAGCACGCCCGTCCCCCTCAGGTCCTGCAGCGAGCCCCCTTTCACGCACACCACAGCCTCTTGCCCTTTCAGCAGCGCCTCTCCCTGCGCAGTTGCGTTTAGCCCGTCCAAGCATGGGGGCATGGTGCTGCTGCTGGCTGCTGTGGCGTCTAGAGCCGCGTGCTCGCAGTCCTGGGAGACGAAGGGGAAGAAGTAGCAGTGCAGCACGCCTGATGCAGAGAGGTCTGAGGGGAAGGGCATGGAGGGGGGACGGTGGGGACGATGTGGGGGGGCCGAGCGGGAGGACAGGGGAGGGAGAAGGGGGAGGGGAGGGGAGGGGGGAGGGGGAGCAGAAGGTTGAAGGGTAGGGGGACTGCAGGACGAGCGGAGTGAAAGTGTGCTGGCTGCTGTGGCGTCTAGAGCCGCGTGCTCGCAGTCCTGGGAGACAAAGGGGAGGAAGTAGCAGCGCAGCGCGCCTGATGCAGAGAGGTCTGTGGGGAAGGGGAGGGAGGGGATGGGGAGACGGAAGAGGGGGATGGTGGGGAGCTGCTGGGAGCGGGGTGAAAGGCTGCTGGCTGCTGGGAGGAGCGTCTAGAATCATGTGCTCGCGGTCCTGGGAGACGAAGGGGAGGAAGTAGCAGCGCAGGGCAGAGGGCGCCTGATGCAGAGAGGTCTGTGGGCAAGGGGGGTGGGAAGAGGGTAAGGGGAAGAGGAACGTGGGGAGATTGGGAGGGAGGAGTGGGGACGGGGAAAGCGGAGGAAGGTGGGGCAGGGGAAGGTGGGGGGGTGCAGGGGCGAAGCGGGGAGGGGGAATGTTACTGAAAGAAGTGGGTGGGGTTCTAGTCCTGACCTTTGAGGCGCCTCAAAAGCGGGGGAATGTTAGTGAAAAGAGTGGATGGGGTTCTAGAACTGAGCGATGGAGGGCAGCAAGTAGCAGTGCAGCGATGGAGGGCAGCAAGTAGCAGTGCAGCGATGGAAGGCAGCAAGTAGCAGTGCAGCGATGGAGGGCAGCAAGTAGCAGTGCAGCGATGGAGGGCAGCAAGTAGCAGTGCAGCGATGGAGGGCAGCAAGTAGCAGTGCAGCGATGGAGGGCAGCAAGTAGCAGTGCAGCGATGGAGGGCAGCAAGTAGCAGTGCAGCGATGGAGGGCAGCAAGTAGCAGTGCAGCGATGGAGGGCAGCAAGTAGCAGTGCAGCGATGGAGGGCAGCAAGTAGCAGTGCAGCGATGGAGGGCAGCAAGTAGCAGTGCAGCGATGGAGGGCAGCAAGTAGCAGTGCAGCGATGGAGGGCAGCAAGTAGCAGTGCAGCGATGGAGGGCAGCAAGTAGCAGTGCAGCGATGGAGGGCAGCAAGTAGCAGTGCAGCGATGGAGGGCAGCAAGTAGCAGTGCAGCGATGGAGGGCAGCAAGTAGCAGTGCAGCGATGGAGGGCAGCAAGTAGCAGTGCAGCGATGGAGGGCAGCAAGTAGCAGTGCAGCGATGGAGGGCAGCAAGTAGCAGTGCAGCGATGGAGGGCAGCAAGTAGCAGTGCAGCGATGGAGGGCAGCAAGTAGCAGTGCAGCGATGGAGGGCAGCAAGTAGCAGTGCAGCGATGGAGGGCAGCAAGTAGCAGTGCAGCGATGGAGGGCAGCAAGTAGCAGTGCAGCGATGGAGGGCAGCAAGTAGCAGTGCAGCGATGGAGGGCAGCAAGTAGCAGTGCAGCGATGGAGGGCAGCAAGTAGCAGTGCAGCGATGGAGGGCAGCAAGTAGCAGTGCAGCGATGGAGGGCAGCAAGTAGCAGTGCAGCGATGGAGGGCAGCAAGTAGCAGTGCAGCGATGGAGGGCAGCAAGTAGCAGTGCAGCGATGGAGGGCAGCAAGTAGCAGTGCAGCGATGGAGGGCAGCAAGTAGCAGTGCAGCGATGGAGGGCAGCAAGTAGCAGTGCAGCGATGGAGGGCAGCAAGTAGCAGTGCAGCGATGGAGGGCAGCAAGTAGCAGTGCAGCGATGGAGGGCAGCAAGTAGCAGTGCAGCGATGGAGGGCAGCAAGTAGCAGTGCAGCGATGGAGGGCAGCAAGTAGCAGTGCAGCGATGGAGGGCAGCAAGTAGCAGTGCAGCGATGGAGGGCAGCAAGTAGCAGTGCAGCGATGGAGGGCAGCAAGTAGCAGTGCAGCGATGGAGGGCAGCAAGTAGCAGTGCAGCGATGGAGGGCAGCAAGTAGCAGTGCAGCGATGGAGGGCAGCAAGTAGCAGTGCAGCGATGGAGGGCAGCAAGTAGCAGTGCAGCGATGGAGGGCAGCAAGTAGCAGTGCAGCGATGGAGGGCAGCAAGTAGCAGTGCAGCGATGGAGGGCAGCAAGTAGCAGTGCAGCGATGGAGGGCAGCAAGTAGCAGTGCAGCGATGGAGGGCAGCAAGTAGCAGTGCAGCGATGGAGGGCAGCAAGTAGCAGTGCAGCGATGGAGGGCAGCAAGTAGCAGTGCAGCGATGGAGGGCAGCAAGTAGCAGTGCAGCGATGGAGGGCAGCAAGTAGCAGTGCAGCGATGGAGGGCAGCAAGTAGCAGTGCAGCGATGGAGGGCAGCAAGTAGCAGTGCAGCGATGGAGGGCAGCAAGTAGCAGTGCAGCGATGGAGGGCAGCAAGTAGCAGTGCAGCGATGGAGGGCAGCAAGTAGCAGTGCAGCGATGGAGGGCAGCAAGTAGCAGTGCAGCGATGGAGGGCAGCAAGTAGCAGTGCAGCGATGGAGGGCAGCAAGTAGCAGTGCAGCGATGGAGGGCAGCAAGTAGCAGTGCAGCGATGGAGGGCAGCAAGTAGCAGTGCAGCGATGGAGGGCAGCAAGTAGCAGTGCAGCGATGGAGGGCAGCAAGTAGCAGTGCAGCGATGGAGGGCAGCAAGTAGCAGTGCAGCGATGGAGGGCAGCAAGTAGCAGTGCAGCGATGGAGGGCAGCAAGTAGCAGTGCAGCGATGGAGGGCAGCAAGTAGCAGTGCAGCGATGGAGGGCAGCAAGTAGCAGTGCAGCGCGCCTGATGCGGAGAGCTTACCAGCCAGGGTGGCGGGATGTGGGAGGGAGGTGGAGGGAGGGGAGAGGAGGGAGTGGCAGGGGGGGAGTGGGAGGGGGGGGAGTGGGAGGGGGGCACTTGGAAGGGGAGAGTGGGAAGGGGGGAAATTGGATGGGGGAAGTGGGGGGAGGGAGTGGAAGGGAACGGTAGGCCCTGATTGTGATTCCATGCATGCACAACCCTTCCCCTTCCCCCGCCTTCCACCCATTTTCGCTCCCCCCCCTCCCTCGTCCCCCATCCACCTTCTCCTCATTCCCCCTTTCCCTTATCCCCTTCCCCAGGAAGTTCCCCCTTCCCCCTCCCCCTTCCCTCCCCTTCCCCTCCCCTCCCCCTCCCCCGTACCGTTGCAGTGGCCGTGTTTGGAGGGGGGGAACGCGCCTCTGATCACCAGAACGCGGTCAAACCGCACAGCCAGTCCCAGCGCCGCTGCTGCCCACTGCAGCAGCAACGGCAGGTCCGACCCTGTGGTAACCGCACCACTACCCGCACCACCAGCAGCACCAGCAGCACCAGCGGAGGCGTCAGCAGCGGAGTCGGGAGGGGGGGGGTTGGGCCAGTCGAGCAGCAGCAGGCGCTTGCCAGCGCAGGAGGCGGGGAACTGGTGCGCCCACAGGTCCCTCTGCGCCACGCGTGTGAGCGGTAGGTTGCCCGCGTCTGATCCTCGCGCACCTGGGGAAGGGGTGGGCGGGAGGGGGAGCACGGGGGGTGTGTGGGGAGAGGGGAAGGGAAGGGGATTGAGACTAGGAGGAGGCGGGAGACTGGTGCGCCCACAGGTCTCTCTGCGCCACGCGGGTTAGAGGCAGGTTGCCCGCATCGGATCCGCGCACCTGGGGGGAAGGGTGGGAGAAAGGGGAAGGAAGGGGGAAAGGGGAAGGAAGGGGGACAGGGAAGGAAGGGGGAAAGGGAAGGAAGGGGGAAAGGGAAGGAAGGGGGAAAGGGGAAGGAAAGGGGAAGGGGAAGGAAGGGGGAAAGGGGAAGGAAGGGGGAGGGGGACGGAAGGGAGAGAGGATGGGCATAGGGGCAGTTATATGAGGGGCAACGTGACCTATGGGACGGGAGAGGGTTGAGAGGGAAACTAGAGGGCGCAGAGTACGGGAGGGGGATGAGGAGAGGGGCAGGAGGGGGGAAGGCGGATTACGTGAAAAATAGCTCCAAGCAGCAATTTTCACCCACCCACGCGCGCAAATTCTCCCCACCCGCTCGAGTTCCCCCTTGAGCGTGCAGCTTTCCCCCCCAAACAACCCTCCCCCTCGCGCGCAAGGCTCACCCACGGGGGTTGCGGGTTGCAGCCGCAGCAGTTGCTGGGACGCGCCCACGCGGGGTCCTCCCCGTTCGCCCCGCGCTGCTCCGCCGCCTGGCGGAACGCCGTGCGCGCCGCGCAGTCCTCGAGGTGCGGCGCGGGGGGCACGTTGGGCGGAAGGGAGATGTTGGCGGGAGGGAGGTGGTTGGAGGGTTTCAAGCCGTAGATATCCTCCCAGGCCTGCGGAAAAAAGGGGGTGTGGGGAGGGGGGGAGGGGGGGAACGGGGGGAAGAGCGGGGAAGAGGGGTGTTGGGAGTGAGGGGGAGAGTTTTGAGTCGACTCAAAGGGTGGTTGGAGGGCTTTAACCCATAACATGTCCCCCTAAGCCTAGGGGAAAGGGGGGAACGGGGTGAGGAGGGTTGGGGAGGGGAGTGTGGGAAGGGGGAGTAAGGGGGGAGGTGGGGTTGGAGAGGACAGGGGGAAGAGTTCAAGGGGGATGGAAAAAACGGGGATCGGGGAATTGCGCTGACCAGTGGAAAGGGAAAGACGAGAGAAGCTATGTTGCATAGCGAATGGTGCTTGTAGCGCGTCATGCGTTGAGAGTGGAGAGTGGAGAGTCAGGGGGGTCGATAATGAGGGCCTGAGAGCAACGTCGTTCGAGAGTCGAAACGACCGAGCAGTAGCCTCGAGAGTCGATAGTCTGATGCTCCGAAACGAGCAATGTCTGGTTTTGCGCTGTCGCGAGGATGGTGTGAAACGAGTCGAGGATGCTACAGAAGCCGTAATAGAAGCTCATGATGTGCGATTTAGGGATTGTAACACCCTGGACGATCGACGTCGCGTCATAGGCATGTCAACTCGCCCGAGAATCGACATCCGTCGACGAATTTCGCACACCGTCGCACGCGTCGCAGCACACCCACACCTACCCGATACAGCGACATGGCGCGTTCGATCCCGCCGTCGCCGCCCATCGCGCCGCCAGGCGCATCGAGGATCTGCGACGCGGCACGAGAGGAGCAGCCTAAAATGAGAACGAGAGCCGCTAGGAGGAAGCTTAGTAGACCCATGGCGATCAACAGCTGATGGGGACAGCTGGCGGAATAAGATACTCGTGGTTAAGCCGGGTTGCGATGGACTAGAGGCATTGTCTCTATTCTCGAAGTTTAAGAGATCGCGGCGCAAAGGCGACAGGTCTGCTGGCAACTTGGTTTCCGCTCGACAGTAATATCTGGTTTTGATTAGTTAGGTGGCGGGTATGACTGTATGACTACGATGTTCGGTGCTCGTCAGAAATCACATCCAGTGCGGTACTGAACGTTTCAGTGCACTGCAAAACGAGAATTATGACCGCTTGTACGCGACAGTGAACGCTTCGGATGTTGGCTCCATCTCTCTGTGATAACTCTTTTCTATACCAAATCACCGGTTACTTGACTAAGCTAGACATTACGAAATGGAGCATGGAAGTTACAGTTATAGGCAATAGACCCGCTATGTATATGTATTTTAATAACATAGAACAAATCTTTTCATCATCCCCACGAAGTACCATCACCTGTTGGCCATGCATTTCACGTCATATCACAGCTACGCGCAACTCAACCAGCCAGTCCCACCCGTTTGCTTGTGCCTGCCCTGCGGTTGCTCCCTCCCCCTTCATCCTCACTCCCTTCACTGCCCGACCCCTGGCTGCTCCCCCCGTCACTGCTGCCCCCATCACTGCTCCCCCCGTCACTGCTCCCCAGATCAATTTCATCATCTGAATCCAAGCAGTTCATGTAGTCATAGAAGGCCGTTGCCTGGGAGAGGGAGAGGGGAACGGGGTCAGGAGAGACGGGAGGGAACAGGCATGAATGATAGAAGGCATGGCGGGACGGAACAGGAATTCAAGGAGTTCAATCGCATCATCTGAATCCAAGCACTTCATGTGATCATAGAAGGCTGTTGCCTGGGAAGAAGGGAGGGAAGAGACGAAGGGGATGAGGGAGTGGGAGAGCGATGAGAGGGAACAGGAGTGAAAAGAGCTGTTCGTGTCGTCATAGAAATCCATTGCCTGGGGGTGAGAGAGAGGAGGGAAAGAAAGGGAAAGAGCAGGAGGATTGGCATATGAGGGTAGAAAGATGAAGCAGACAAGGAAAGGTCTTGAACAAGCGAGGTGAAACGACGCAAGGGGGTGAAGACACGTGGCTACGCAGTACGGCGGTAGCCAGAATATGAGGCAAAGTTAGCAGAGCGAGGAAGGTGCCTTTATGGGGATCTGTGTGTGTGTGTGTGTGTGCGTGTGTGTGTGTGTGTGTGTGTGTGTGTGTCTGTGTCTGTGTGTGTGTGTGTGAGTGTGTGTGTGTGTGTGTGTGTGTCTGTGTGTGTGTGTGTGTGTGTGTTTGTGTGTGTGTGCGTGTGTGTGTGTGTGTGTGTGTGTGTGTCTGTGTCTGTGTGTGTGTGTGTGTGTGTGAGTGTGTGTGTGTGTGTGTGTGTCTGTGTGTGTGTGTGTGTGTGTGTGTGTGTGTGTGTGTGTGTGTGTGTGTGTGTGTTTGTGTGTGTGTGTGCATACCTTAGGCCGTGGCAGCACGGCGTCGAAATGGTGCACGGTGGGTTCAACGAAGTCTGGGCCCTCAAACACCAAGTACGCAGCTCTGTTGCTGTACCTCTGCTTGCGCGCCTGGTGAGGACGGCGAGAGGGTGGGCGGGAGGGCGGGAAGAGGGGAGGAAGAAGGAGGGAGGGAGGGAGGGAGGGAGGGAGGGAGGGAGGGAGGGAGGGAGGGAGGGAGGGAGGGAGGGAGAGGGGGAGAAGGGGAGAAGATAGAGAGGGAGAGGATTGGAGAAGGATTGGTGGAGAGATGGAGAGGCGAGTGCGATGCTGTGTCGACTCAAAAGCCACCTAAAGGAACAAAGGAAAGGGCACGATCCTAACTCTGACTCGACTCAAAAGACACCTAAAGAGGGCACGCACGGACCTGGAACTGCGGGTAGTCGGGCGCGCTGAAGAGCGTGAGCAGGCGGCCGGCAGGCACCTGGTGGTCCACTGTGAGGCCCGTGCTCATTGGTTTCATCTCCGGCCGCTTCTCCCTCGCGTCTGGCCCCTCGTGCGACCGCACTATCAGCTGGGAGCGTGGGGGATGGGGAGAGAACGGGGGGTGAGAGAATGGTGGGGAGGCAAAGGGGAGAGAAGGGAGCGGGGAGGAAGGGAAAGGGGCATAGCAAGGGTAGGGTTCACAAAATCCTACATTCCAGAGTCGACCAAAAAGCCCACCCACTCTTCCTCCTCCGCTCTGCACCCACTCCGCTCGTCCACCTCCACGCCACCTTCACACCTCACCTCCTCCTGACCACCTCGAGCCCATGCGTCTGCACCAGCACCTTGCTGTGCTGCGGAACAAATACCGACCTCGCACGAACCCTCAAAAACTTCCAAAAAAAAGCCCACCCTTTGCCCTCTCTCTCCATCTCCACCCCTTCTTCCCCCCACCCCCCCCCCCCCCCCCCCCCCCGCCTTTTTTCCTCAACCCCACCACAACCCTCACCTTGAGCCCATGCGACTCCAGCATCTGAGTTCTATAGAAACTGTGAACACCCCAACCCCCTCACCTTAAGCCAGTGCGTCTCCAGGAGCATCTAAGTATGCTGCGGGCCAAACACCAGTCGAGCGTTCTGAGAGATCTGGGTCCGTGAGCATCTGTGTGCGTGTGGGTGAAAACCCCATCACCCACATCCCCCTCACCTTGAGCCCGTGCATTTCCAGGAACATCTGCGTGTGCTTCGGGCCGAACACCAGTCAAAATTTCTACAAAACCCATGAGCATCTGTGTGTTTCAACACCCCTCCCCCCCTCACCTTGAGCCCGTGCGTTTCCAGGAACATCTGCGTATGCTGCGGGCCAAACACGAGCCCGATATTCCTCGTGGCATTATGCCGCAGCTCGTCCTTGAGAGCCGGATCGGACCACAGCACATCCGCCACTATCGCATGCGACCCCGTGCCATGCGGATCCAGAATGCCCCTCCTCGTTCCCTCCAGGTCTGCGATTGTTCCTAGCTCCACCTCTGGCACCTCCCGCTTCCCCCTCCTCCTCGTCCCGCCCTTCTCGCTCCCGCCTTCCCCCGCCCGGCCTTTCCCCTTCCCCTTCCCCTTCCCGCCCTTCCCCTTCCCTTTCCCTTTCTCCCGCCCGCCGCCACCACCCCCACCCCCACCGCCGCCCCCTCTCATTGCCTTCCCCCCCGCTTCTTCAGGATTTCGAAACAACCCCCCATGGCACACGAACACTGCGCCGTTAATCACGGCAGCGAGGGGGTGCGACTCGAAGCAGGCGAGGAAGCGGCGGAAGAGGTGCTGCGCGGCGGGCGCGGGGAACTTGTGGCGGATCTCGTTCTGGAAGCCGTAGTGCATGGCGCAGAACAGCGTCTCGTGGTTGCCGCGCAGCAGATACACGCGCTGGGGGAACAGCACCTGCGGGGGGGGGAGGGGCAGGGGCGCGGGGGAGCGGGGGAGCGCGAAAAAGGGACGGGGAGTGCGGAGTGGGGAGGGGGGAGTGGGGTGGGGGCCAGGAGGCAGAGAAAGGATGTGGAGGAAGGGAGGAGGCTTAAGCAGCGGCAGCGGCGGCTCCTACCTTCCAGCTCAGCAGCAGAAGATACGTCTCCAGGCCCCACGCGCCGCGGTCCACGTAGTCGCCGTTGAACACGAAGAAGCGCGAGTCGCACGGCTCGCCCGTGAGTCGCAGCAGTCGCAGCACGTCGTGCAGCTGCCCGTGCACGTCGCCCACCACCACCACCTGCACTCCCCCCGCTCCTCCTCCCCTGATCCTCCTTCCCCTTCCGCTCCCGCTTCTCCTGTTGCCTCGTCTTTCTCTCCCCCTCCTACCCTTTCTTCTCCTTCTGCTCCGACCGCGGCGGCGGCGGCGATTTCATCACCTACGTTCCCGCCTGGAACTGCCTCGTCGCAAGGAGCATTTTCATCGCGCCGCGACATCTCCTCCCCTTCTCCTCCTGCTATTTCCCCTCCCGCTCCTTCCCCTCTCCTTGCCTCGGCTTTCCTCCCATCATCGGAAACACACATCAACGTCTTCCCCCCTTCCCCCGCTCCGCCTACTGCGGACGGACCAGGTCGAGATTTTGTCGCCGCCGCGGTTGGCGCCGCCGATTGCGGCCACACGCGCACGACGTTTGGCTCCTTGTGCAGGACTTTATACGCGGCATTGAGAATGCCGTCTACAGTAGCGACTGGGAGGACGGTGGGAAGATCCTCTGGAGACACGTGGCGCGACGCGTGGTCCAAACGCGCTGCAAACTCGCGTACCCAGGCGACGGAGATCTGACCGTCGGCGGGCCATGTCACGGGCGGACAGGGGCCATCGGACGGCGGAGATGCTGCGACGGATCCGACCGCGGTATCAACGGCTGGTTCCGCACTCATTGCGCGAGCGGAACCCGCGGAAGTGGACGGGGATGCCCTGACTGGACGAGAGATGGGGGAGCACCACTGGCAGGTGAATCTGGCTTGCTAGACAGCAAAGCAACGTGTGCTCTGCGCAACCGAGGCAGGGAAATGCACAAGGCGAATGCACAGGCGGTATCCCCGCTCTAGAATGAATCTGGAACGGCACTTCGCGCCGGATTCTAACAGTACGGAACTGCTGCCTAACTGGATTAACACTTTTAGCTGATACACCTAAAAACATGTTGAGTTGCACGCAGGAATATCCCAAAAGGTAGCAAAAGGCTTCCCCCTATGACTCTCAATCTATGGCCAAAACTCGATGCTTTTCACTTCCAATGCAGCAGCAGCAGCCCTGTAATCACCATCTACAGTTGAGCATGGGATGGGATGGGACCCCACGGCGCGGCGGTGCCATACAAACCCTTCGCCGGAGTATCATTTACCTTGAAACAAATGGCGTTACAAAATACACAAAACTTGGTGCACTGCGTGCCAGTAAGCTTTGAAATACAGAGCCATAGCGCGGACAAGAGGTGTAGAATCTGTCCGCAAGCCAGTGTCATGAGTCTGGCGGTGGGGGAACCGTCTCTTTAGGGTGTTTAGAGCCATAGTGGTCAACCAGCTGATTGTAATTGGCAAGCAAAACCTGCAAGTGACATGGAAAGGACATGAGAGTGGGAGAATATGAGAGTGGGAGGACGGGAACAAGAGAGAGAGACACGGAGTAACCACAGACATGGTACAGTGATACATGACGGGGTCACGGCTGCATGGGCCTCGTGGCATTGACAGACAACACCGCTGGCACAGCAACATGCGAAATAAGTGCTCTTACTACTCCACCGCTCCGTCGCCCGCAGCATGAACCTCCCCGCGATTATCAAAAAAGGATTCTGTTATGCGCAGTGACAGTGTTCGTATAACCTTTCACGGCAACGCAAACGCCACAGAGATGGTACATTATAGCGGGCCCTTCTTATTGCACCCAATCAGCACCGTATCCAGGTAGCCTCCTAAACTGGCCAACCAGCGAGGAAACCATACCTTACAAATCGGGCATGTTGTCTTGAAAGCCGCGGCGCGGGCCTCTAATTGCGAGCCCTTGGGCTTTTGATTCCGCGCTTCGTTGCGCTTCTGCGACTCGATCTTTTGCTTGCCACGCGTCATGATTATGCTTGCGAAGCCGGGATCGACAGATGGATCAGCGAGATTCTATCGCGCTTGTCGCAACACACGGTGACGCCAGACGACGAGTCAGTGCAGCAACATGACGCGATCAGGCAGAATGGTAAGGCGAGTGCTAGGCCTGCGGTCTAGTGAATGATGCTAGAAAGGACAGGACACCCGCCTGATGACATACGAAGTTGTGAAAGACAGATGTGAAGTTACACTCTAATGTAAGCGCTCGATCCTTTTGTCTTTAAAGCAGTAACGAGGTATCCAGAAACAAGGAAAACACAACCAAAGCCCGAAATCGTTTGTTCGTCTGCAAGTGTGCTGGTCACCACGAGGCTGAGGAAAATACACGCTGTAAGACAGGTCAAAACCATGTGCAATTAAAGCCGGGATCTCAAGTAAAACAATGGTTTTGCAATTGACAGATACAGGCGTTCTGTTATTGGATGGCGACTTGAGAAAGTTGACGATCACGCAGCCACATCCGCGAACAGGCAAAAATTCGTGAACCAAACCACCCCAACCAGGTCGGACCTGAGAGGAGGTTGGGGTGCGACACCCAGACCTCCAAATGCTCGCACTAAAAATGGCACTCCTAAACCGCACAACACACCTCCAAACACATTTTGGTTTAGGTCGAAATGCCCAACTACCCAAAATCCCCCTCGTAATGCGCATAGGTAGAAAACGGCTAGCTGCGCGTCTCTGTTTAGATCGTAGCAACAGGCGAGTCGCCTCGCAATACAACAAGCGCGCAACCGAGCCGAAATCAGCACGGAGGCATCAGTGGCGCGTCAGCATGCGCGAACGAGGCGAGGCGAGGGCCAGCGGTAGGCGACCAAGCGGCCCGTCTCTCGCTGTGCGTTCCAACGCGCGCTCGCCCAAGACCCGCCGAGCCGAGCAGGCCCAGCTACAGGCGGGGCAGCGGGTTCATGACAACGAGGGCGCTGTCGCCGCGACAGCTCGCGCTGACATCGACGCGGCGGGTGGCGCGGAGCCCACTGGCAGCAGGGTGACTGCGATAGCGTGAGCAGAGGTGAGGGGTAGGCGGACGGGCAGGCGACGCACCCTGATGCGGCACGTCGCCTAGCGTGCGCGTGTCACTTCTGCAGCTGAAGGGCGCACATACGACGAGTCGGACTGCGAGCGCCCCTGCTCTGCGCAGGACTCGCCGCGCTTCCGCCCGCAACCCCTGCCTTGCGGGTGGGAGGGAGCTGCGTACACAGGCGTGCGGGGATCGGCGCTGGGGGGAACGGCGATGGGGGGGAAGATCGCTGGCGGAGGACCTAGAGCGAAGGGAAGGTGGGGACGAAGAGGGGCTATGGATGGACGGAAAGGGAATTTACCACGCAGCACGATTCGTGGGGGGTGATGGGGAGTGTGTGGTGCTCGCAGGTTGGGATGGGGGCTGCGCGTTGCTGGAATCGAACACTCTTCATGTAATGGGCGGGCAGGTGGTAACAAGGCATGGCGGGCAGGGGGGCGGGGAGGTAGTAGAGGGGAGAATGGAGAGGCAGTGCAGTGCAATGCACGTGAGGCACTACCACCACCACCCCCTGGTGCTTCTTGGAACACCAAACTCAGATCCCCCAAACTCTCTCCCTCTCTCTCATCTCTCCCCTCCCCTCTCACTCTCCGTCCTCCCTTTCATGCCCCAACCCCCCCCAACCCGCGTCACCACCATCAGCAGCGAGCATCGTTCCGGCCACCACAATTGATGCAGCTAGGAGAGCCAGCAGCGGTGCGTCGCACGATGGGCTCATGGCTCGCCTGCTGCTCGCCACCTCGCGCTCGTACGCCATCTTCTGCTGCTGGGACCTCCTGCCTCGTCTCCTGCTTCCCTCCACCGTCGCCCACTGCCTCACCCTCGCCCTCACCTGCGCCCTCACCAGAGTCCTCATCTCCCGAATAGGCGTGTACCCTGTGACACACACGCTGCTGCGGTTCCTGCAGTGGGCGATGGTGCTGCTGCCACCCCTGCCACTCCCATCCACATGCGTGGATAACCCTCAGCACGACCCCCACCAGCAGCAACACCAGCACCCATACCCAGCTGCTACAGCCGCAAATTGCAGCTCCGCGGTTAGTGCCCGCCATGATGACATCGCTGTCGCTCACTGTGAAGTGCCTTCTTGCCCCTTTCCCCTATCTTCACTACACCCTTCTTCCCCCTTACTACCCGCTCTGCCCGGCATTTTTTATGTCTCTTTCCTTCTGTGGCATTCACCCTGCTCCTCCCTTTCCCCTCTCTTCCCTATACCATTCTTCCCCCACCATGCGTTCACTGCCTTACACTCTTCTTCCCCTTTTCTCTCTCTTCCCTACACCCTTCTTCCCCCACCTTGCACTCTCTGCCTTACGCCTTGCTTCCCCCTTTCCCCTCTCTACCTTTCGCCCTGCCTCCCCCTTTCCCTTCTCTGCATTACGCCCTTTCTCCCCCTTTCCCTAATCTCCCTTACCCCCTTCTTCCACGTTTTCACCCTCGGTGCCTTATGTCCTGCTTCCCCTTTTCACCTCACTTCCTTACACCCTTCATCCCCCTTTCCCCAGTCTCCCTTACACCCTTCTTCCACCTTTCCACCCTCTCTGCCTTTCTCCCTTCATCCCACGTGCGCCCAATGGCCTCCAGCTCTCCACCCTGCCTTAATCATCAACCCACACGGGATCGCCGCGTGTGCCACTGGGTGCAGCGCGTCCTATCCCACACCCCATCCATACCCCATCCCTTGTGTTCCCCACACACATCAGGCGTTTAGGATGCTGAGTGGGCACACGGCAGCGCTGCAGCAGATTGTGCTCATAACAGATCAGCCCTGTGCGGGCGGAGCGCCGCGTCTGCCAGTGGGTGCAGCACTCGGGCTGACTGAGGTGAAAAAATTGGACGGAGGCCCTTGCTGTTTCTAGCAGTTTCTGCAACATACGCCATACTCGTTGTTTCCTTCATGGCACAAGAACCCCCCTTCGCTCCCATCTTTCCCACACTCTCGGCCCTAGCACTACTCCCACACCTTCTCCCCTGTCCACTCCCTCTCCCTCTCCCCTCTCCACTCTCCCTGTCTTCCTCCTGTCCCGCCCTCCCCCCTGTTCCCCCCCTTGTTTCCTTTCTGCCTGCCAACACCACAACGACTCCCCTTGTATGTTCTCACACCGGCACTCCGCTTTCTATTTCCTGCTTGCCGGTTCCTCTTTACTCCTGCACAAGGGATTATTGTCGTGTTATTCCTTCACCCTTCCTCCTCCCCATGTGCGGAGGCAGAAGGAACAAGGCAGAGTATACGGCCCTGGGTCTTGTCAAAACACGGCTGAACGTTCAAGGAGACAAGAAGCGCATGGTGAAACAGGTGGGTGGGATGGTTGGTAATAGTCCATAGTTTATTGCTCTCCACGCTCCGCTGCTCCAATGCCTCACTTCTCCCGCCCCTTCCCTGCTTCCATGCATCACTGCTCCCATGGCTCACTTCTCTCCACCTGGAGAGAATCCCTTGCCTCACTTTTCTCTCCCCTTCTCCGCAGCCCAGGGTTCTCTGCTCCCTTTCTTCACTTCTTCCCCATTTCACTGCTCCCATGCTTCATATTTCACATGCATCTCTGCGACCATTGCTTCTCTTCTCCTCCCCTTCTCTGCTTCCATGATTCACTGCTCCCATGCTTCTCTCCCCTTTCTCTGCTATGATCCGCATCTGCTATGTTTCAAGACTTCTCTCTCCCCCTGTTTAGACATCCAGAATTTGCAGAGGTCGTGTCGACCGACTCTGACACTCAGCACCGATTAGACCGTGGAGTTGCATGCCTTCTGGGGACAAGCCGCAAGGGGAGGGCAAAGCCTCAGGATTGTGCTTGTGGAGGAGTTCAAGCCACTTTATCATCATACTCCATTTGAGAGCCTACCATACCACTCT